CAAGTTCCTACTTCACGCCTCCTCCAGTCATATGATAACAAAAGACTACCAGCTGAAACATGGACACAGCTGGTTGACGTAGCCTGGGCAATGTTGCCAGTCCGGCAATAGCAAAGTGAAGAGGTGCGACGTGAACACTGGCGCGGTAACCATAGTACGGTGATAGAGGAAATGCTTCACCAAACTTGAGCGTCTGCTCACCATGGAGGTGCGGCTCAAAACGGCGTCTGTTCTCCATGTTAGGAGCGGCTGATCACCGTCCTAGTGCCAGCGTGGGACTCTAAACAGAGCTGTGCACGATGGTCCCCCGGCGAGACAGGGGGTGGGGCAGGCCCAACAAGCCGCCCTGGAAAAAAGACAAAGTTGCAAATACCGAAGAAAGAAATACGGATCGGAACAATCGGCACAGACCTACGCGACGAAATAAGGACTACGATTGGAAACTCGGAACATGGAACTGCAAATCGCTCGGCTTCCCGGGTTGCGATAGGTTAATCTATGACGAACTTCAACCACGCAACTTCGAAGTCGTAGCACTGCAGGAACTTTGTTGGACGGGACAAAAGGTATGGAAAAGCAGGCACCGAGCGGCTACTTTCTACCAGAGCTGTGGCACCACCAACGAACTTGGAACCGGCTTTGTAGTGCTGGGTAAGATGCGCCAACGCGTGCACAGCAAAAAAAGTTGTTGAATATTACATCGAAACTGATGCAACCAGGTCAATCCATCGGTTGTGTAATATCACATTGTACGATGTACATCGATTTTGCGAACAAAATTACATCCATTGATGTAATATTGTATCTGCTTTTTGCTATTACATCATTATTTCATACATCAGCTTGAATTACGTTGATCGATATTACATTTTTTTTTGCTGTGTGATTGGTTGGCAGCCGATCAACGCGAGGATGTGCAAGTTGAGGATTAAGGGTCGTTTCATCAATGTGCACTGTCCACACGAAGGGAGACCCGACGACGAGAAAGAAGCGTTCTATGCGCAGCTGGAGCAGGTGTACGACGGCTGTTCGCAACGGGACGTCAAAATCGTCATCGGCGACATGAACGCTCAGGTAGGACGGGAGGCAATGTATAGACCGACAATCGGGCCAAACAGCCTGCCTGCCGTATCGAACGACAACGGCCAACGATGCGTGAACTTTGCAGCCTCCCGGGGTATGGTAGTTCGAAGTACCTTTTTCCCCCGCAATGATATCCACAAAGCCACCTGTAGATCACCTGACCAACACACAGAAAACCAAATCGATCACGTTCTAATCGACGGGAAATTCTTCTCCGACATTATCAACGTCCGCACGTACCGCAGTGCGAACATAGATTCGGACCACTACCTAGTTGCAGTATGCTCAAAACTCTCGACGTTGCATAACACACGTCGAAGTCGAACGCCACGACCCAACATTGAGCAACTACGGGACACCGGATCTCTCATTCTGAAACGCACTACCCGCATAAATAATAACCATAAGAAACGCCTAACCACCAATTCGGGATATCATCCCAACTTTATGTGGGATGGTCGTACCATCTATGATATCGTTAGAGTATGGTACCCGTTTATTAGGGTATTAAAAATGTCAAAAAGGCGGTAAATGAAGGTTCAGTGCTGCCATGAAAAATGTCGGTATTTTTGAGAATTGAATAACTTTTCATTTAAAAAAAGCACATTTTAAAATTACACGTCAAAATTGAAAGAAGCACTTTCAAATCAAAAACATAACTTTCGATTTATATATTTTCATAGTTGAAACTGCGAGTTTTAAGAAACTTTCAATTTGAAAATACAATATTTTTATTTGAACAATTTTTGTTCTTTGTGTGTACTACACTGAACCATTTTGTCATATTCCTGTTATGTGGAAGTCTAATAAATTTGCGCTATAAGATAATCCATTGAAAATGATATGATTGAAAATGTGTCAGGTAAATTCTATATAAATATCTGATACATTAAAAATGCTGTTAATTTGGTAACTTTTATATGATCGTCATATGATAAATGAAAATCGGTCAAATTATAATAATTAACTGAAATGTATTTGAAACCCATAAGCATAAGCTTTACTTTTCACCACAATATAATATATGTGTCATAAATCAATCGAAGTAAAGTTTATGTGAAAATCACATGAAATTTACTTCTTCTTTTGACACATATATTTAATCGAATTTTAAAAATAAATCGAAAAATAAACATCAGGCAGTGGGAGCTTTCACAGTTGTGTCTTTTTTTTTATTGTAGCTGATTTGAGATTCGATCAAGAACTGTTGAGGTGTGATGCTTTTGGTGTCTACGCTCGATTCCACTGGGCCACGACTGACTTCAAGATTGAGCTCGTTCAATTAGCATGAAGTAAGAACAGCTCTCCCGACATGGAATGTAGGGTAACGTTATGCTCGTTTTGCTAAGTGAAGAAAAATAGCACTGACATATTTATGCTCCGTTTCGGTGTATAGTCTGGCGGATAGAATCTCGGGAACCAATTGAGCTGTCAAATAGCGGAACCAATCGAGCAAATCACGGCCAACAACAGAAAAGAACACATCAGCTATTGCGAACAAATCTTCGGCAACCCTTTTCTCGTGACTCAAGGCTCGCCTACGCAAACTGACACCATATTTGGGTTGGGGAAAGTTTCCCCTATCCGATGATGCCGGTAACTTGCGTTCAGTTGGCGGGGAAAGAATAATCAACGTTTTGTTTATAAAAGTTCATAGTACCTTTTCAATTGTTGGTCTAAAATATATTGAATTGGTTCCGCTTTATGATAGATTGAAATTCTATACGCCAGACCATGAATATAGCGACTATATTTCGGTGGTGTCGTGTATTCAAATCTTTCTTAATGCTCCTGTGTGCAAAAAAACAACGACTACATTATATGAGTTCATGAGGTTCGAGTCTAGTGCTGGAATTTGAATTAGCCGTATAGAAGGCTTACAATTAGAATCTTAGCAAAGTAAATATTGCAGTAGAATCACACCTTACCTTATGAAACAATAACAAACAAAGATTATTCAATACAGTATCATTGGTGTTAGCAATATTTAGTTCGACTAATCTAATTTTAATGAGTGTAAGATAACATCGTTGAAAATTGTTTCAATAATTTATAAAGAACAATCATGTAAGATGTATTTTATTGGGAGCGATATTCATCCTAGAAAACCATGCCAGAACAAATGTTTGCTGTTGTATTTTCTTAAAAGGCAAATCTATATGACTATTAAATGATTGGGATAGATCTATTTACAATCTTTAAATCTCAAAAATCAAAGGAAGCTATTCCAATGAAATATACATGTTTTCCTGTACTGAAAAGTTAAATGACAGTCCAATAGTTTCTACATGTCTGTTTACACGCGAAATATCAACAAACGTCAAAAATCGTTAGAAGCAACTCCAATAAAATATACATGATTATCATATAAGGTATATCTTTTAGTGAGCAATATTCATCATGAAAACAGGTATATTTTACTGAATTTTCTCATAGAGCAAACTTATATGATTTTCCATTAGTTTATAGATGTCTGTTCCCTGACAATATTCATATACTTCTTACCTATCCATAACCACGTTCGAAGCAAAGTATTATCAAGGACTAAGTATGTGAAATTACGATAGAAATCATTCCATATCGCAGCCATAGTATTTAAGTGATAATCCAATGGAATCTATCAATCACCACATAGAATCAACAAATCTGCTGACATTGCTATGTTATAAGATGGATCCAATAAACGGTACATGACGATTTGTTTCAGTGTACCAACCGGTGGAAACTAACGATCTTAAATTGGCTCACTACCAACAATCAATACGAAACTAACGATTTTAAATTGGCTCACTACTTGACTAGCCTATTGGTCCCAAGCAAACGATTAACGTATCCCATTCTAGTCGAAATTCTAGTACTACGCAATGTTTGTTTTGATTCGCTATGAAAGTTTGACAGATAAAATGAGGGGTTAGTGGATTTTCCCATAGAGGTAACTCTAAGACAAGTAGGTCCCGAAGAAACGTGTTCAACTTTTTGGCTCACCTCTGGTACTATCTTCGGTCCCAAGCTTGTCGAATCACCCCTCGAAACATAAGTAAAACCAATAACCCCTCATTTTATCTGTCAAACATTCATAGCGAATCAAAACAAACATTGCGTAGTACTAGAATTTCGACTAGAATAGGGTACGTTAATCGTTTGCTTGGGACCAATAGGCTACTAAAGTGGTGAGCCAATTTAAAATCGTTAGTTTCGTATTGATTGTTGATTTTCCTATGTTTCGAGGGGTGAATCGATTAGCTTGGGACCGAAGATAGTACCAGAGCTGAGCCAAAAAGTTGAGCTCGTTTCTTCAGGACCTTCTGGTCTTAGAGTTACCTCTATGCTACTACCGGGCGGAGGTTTTTGAAATATGTTCATTGAAATTCAGCTTGCTATCCATCGTCACTCCTAGACCTTTAACAGAGTTTACTTTATCAAGTTCTTCTGAAATGATCTACTTGGGACCTTGACTAGCCCAGTAATGAGCCATTTGAAAATCGTAAGTTTCCTATTGATTGTTGGTTGGCTCGCTTACCCATTTTTGGATAGGTTCAGTTTTTAATGATCTTGATGGATTCTACCCAAATTTAGCGTGTACGGAAAGCTCCATCTTGTGGTGGAGCAAATAGGCCAGGTAAAGTAAGCACCCGCAATATAACACCGCTCGCGGTGCGGATTCGCGTTTGTTGTGACAATTCTCACGCATTATACCGTTGGCTGTGGCTTGGGTGGCAAGTCGGAGTCTTTCATTCATAAATTTTATTTTCTTTCCCCGAACCGAAATCAAAAATCCCAATCTCCGCACATCCGGACAGCAGCAGTGCAACGCGGAGCTGTGTTTTGCTTTTCCTAGTCTAGGGGGAAATCGTCTAATTGTGCTAAAACGGAGTGAGGTTCGGAGTGATTTCCGCGAGTGTGAAGGGTGTGCATTCCAATATTCATCAAATAAGTTCAGTGTTAATTGATTGTGCAAACAATTTTTGTTATAAGAAGATCTTCGTCCGGTAATCCTGGCTGTCTAAGCATGTCGTCGCCTTTCCGCTACACACACGCGATCACCTGCAGGTGAGGTCTGCAGAATAAGATCAATATTAGAATATGCAAATCGCTATGCGGTGGATTTGGCTGATCTCTCAATCGAAATGATGTCACTCCACTGCATAACGGTGTGGTCATCAAGCATCTCTATTATGCCAGTATGGCCTTGCTCGATTTGGGGTGTGGAATTGAAAAATCGATGCTCCATGCCCTTGGTCCAATGTACGATTCATAGACAGGGTGTTAGTTTAGTTGCAGTCAACGCCCAATTCAGTCGAAGCGAAGCGTTGTTTATGACTTCGAGTAAATATGGCTTGCGAACATCCCGTTAAGTACTAAATTGGATGGTGTTCGGCTTCTTCAATTACAGAATTCCCCTCTCGTTGCGCACCCGGGGCGAGATCGATTTGGAAGAGGCCAAGCTGCAACATGAGGCCTATGTGAGGTAAGCGCAAAATATGATAGGACGGGTAATTTAGATCGCAATCGCTGTTTTAACGATTGGAACGTGCTTCGCCGTGGTGAATTGAATCAATGATGTTGTGTTATTTTTACACTGTAGACTGCTACGCGATTTGGGACTGGACGTTTTGGAACTTCCGCCAGATGAGAACCTACCGGAGTGTCCCTTTATCGAAGATTGCGCCGTGGTGTGCAATGGAATTGCATTGATCTGCCGACCGGGGGATCCCAATCGACTGAAGGAGGTATGCTAGGTGTGTGGTATAGATTGTAGTCTGGTTGTAACTATTAACAATTTAAGGTCGATGCAGTGCGCTCGGTACTCAAGAAAGAACTGGACCTTCCGCTGGCGGAGATCGCCGACCAGAAGGCACGCCTCGACGGTGGAGATGTCCTGTTCACGGGGCGGGAGTTTTTCGTAGGCCTTAGCAAGTGGACCAACGAAGCGGGAGCCCGAGCGGTCGCCTCCGCCTTCCCGGAGTATCCCTGCGTTCCAATCAAGGTAAGCGTATTCCTTCTTTTCCGATTCCAATCGTTGTTCTTTTAAACGTGTAAATATGTTAACTGGAAACCGATGTATATTGACTTCATTCGCTCTCTAGACTAGAAACCGTCTCTAGATAGAAGTGTAGAATTAGGCTAACGATTTTCAAATTTTCCTTTAATCGAAATCTTAACCGATAAAAAAAAAAATTAACGTGTAATGCATTTCACTGTTTTCCTTTCCTTTTCTTTCTCTGTCTTTTCCTGCCATCTTCTTTTGATTTCCACACCACACTCGAAAAAAAAAAAAAACAAACCGACAAACCGTTCCCTTTCTTTTCCGCTCCATTTTTCTTTCTTAAATCGTTTCCTTCCGCTGCGCTGCAATGTGATCTCGTTTTGACAATGTCTGTGTGCGTGTGTGTGCATATCTAATCGCGCGCGCGCGCCCTAAATCCGAACAAAAACTGAATCGATTGTCCAAAACACACGGCACTAGGTAGAGGAATTGAATCTCGACGCGACTCCGATTACGTTGGAACTAGTCAACGGAGTGATTCAGGTTGACATCCTTGCATTCAATGCATAAACTTTATTAGACAGTTGTTGATATTCGTTTCGCTGCTAAATATCGTTAGTGGAAATGCGCGTGTTTGATATGGGGAAAGGCTAAATACGCATATGTGCAGCGCTTGTTTGTTGTTGCCTGAACAGGCGAACGAAAAAAAAAAAAAAAAACGATGGAATGGATGCGCTTGGAGGGCTTGATTTTGATGAGATTGAATGGCATTGCTTCTGTTTAGGATTGTGCTATCTTAGTTCACCGATGCGGCATGCTTGCGCAAATCGATCACCGAAATTCGAATGTTGCTAGCTGCGTCCACTTGTTGTGCAACTGTTTGGCTGATCCTTTTCTTTTTGTAGCTGGTATGAAAGTTTTGTTTTGTTATGTTTTGATTGTATCGCAATGTTTGGTAGTCCGTGAGGACCATCCTGGGTTCAATGGGAAACAATAGTGTCCAGAATGGGGGGGCTAGGGGCAAGTGTGTTGCCTCTACAAAATGCTATTTCACCCATGAACCAATAAAAAGGCGCTCCTATGAAGAATGAAAAAATGCAAAAGATCATTAATAGTATAATTGAATAATCAGTAACAGCGGTTGCTAACATGCTTAAGAAAAGCAATGTATTGTTAAAAAAATAAGCTTTGCTCTGTTTCCCTTCATTTTAGACGTATTACCGTTTTGTCCCATAACATGTTCAATAGGCAGATTTGACTTGATGTTTTGAAATCAAGACAATTTTGATGTGATTTAATGTTAATCAAAAACTTGCAGTTCGGTTTACAAACTTATGCAAAATCCACGATATGGAATGCATCTCAAAGGTAAATGCTTCGAACGAATTTGATAGTAAAGATTACATTCTCAGAAGAAGGGTTTGTGTATTTGCTCATTTTTCTATGCGTTGCTTCCACCTTCACTCAAGCGCAGCGCTAGTGTATCTGTAGTGAGCGCTCAACTTCCGAGCTGAACAGACGCGTTTTTGCTATCGCTCGTGGAAGTCGAACACGAACTAATTTCCAGTGTTAACTGTGTTTTTTCGTATTCTGCTCATCGCTGAGCCGTTTTTCCGTGTCGCTGCGCGTCCAAACGACTCCGCGATGGGCCGTCGAGAAAATACCTTTCGAATAGATTTCGAGTGAAAGTTGTCGACCTAGAGTTGGCGCAACGAATCTGCGAGGAACATGACAACCAACACGACATTACCGTCGACGGAAAAAAATATCCGCTAAGGATCACGCTGGAGGATGGAGCAGTGGAGGTGAGGCTCTTCGATTTGTCCGAGGTGTCGGACCAAAAAATCGCCGATTTTCTCGGAAGGTATGGTGACGTCATATCAGTACGAGATCAACGATGTGGAGCCGACATCGGTTTCCCTGGTATTTCGACCGGTGTCCGCATAGCGAAAATGAAAGTGAATCGTAACATCGAGTCGTGGGTCACCATCGACGATGAAGTGACGAATATATCGTATTTCGGGCAGCTACAAACATGCTGACACTGCCGCGAATACATCCACATCGGGGCTACTTGCGTGCAGAATAAAGAACTGCTCGTACAAAAGTCGTACGCCGATGCCGCAAAGCAGATGCCTTCACAAAAAAACATCTCAAGCCGACTATACTCCGAACCAAACCAACACACACTCGAACCAAATCGCTCCCAGTGCGAATCAAAACAAAACAACTTTGAACCAAGCTGCACGAACAGAATTTTCCCACGCTAGTCTCTTCCTCGGCTTCGATTCCCCCATCGGACAGCGTGTCGTTGACTCCCTCTACAGGTCAACAGCCCCCTGCTAGCAGCGGAGTGGATCGCAAAACTGCTAGTGGCAAGTCCGATGGCAACGAAACAGATTCGTCTGTCGGCTCAAGCTCCAGCTCAAGAAGGCATCTCCGCAATCGACCACCAGGCAAGAAGCCTCGGGTGGAGGACGACTGCGACGACAAGCGAGATGGGAGTAACCAACTGTCGTAATGGCTGAGTTCTCCAGTTACAACCTCGCCTCCATCAACATCAACAATATCACGAACGGAACGAAAATTGACTCTCTTCGGACCTTTGTACGAACGCTAGGGCTAGATATCGTTTTCCTCCAGAAGGTGGAGAATGATCAGCTCTCTCTCCCTGGCTTCAACATTGTCTGCAATGCAGGCAAGGCGAGGAACGGCAATCGCGCTGAAAGACCACATTCAGTTCTCGCATGTGGAGAAGAGCCTGGATGGCCGCCTCATCGCTTTGAGGGTGCAAAACACGACTCTCTGTAATATCTATGCGCCATCGGGGACAGCTGGTCGTGCGGAAAGAGAGAGATTCTTCAACGGCACGATCGCATATTACCTTCGGCACTACACGCAACACGTTGTCCTCGCTGGCGATTTTAATTGCGTGCTTCGCCCGAGCGACTCCACGAGTTCAAACACAAGTCCGGCGCTCCAAGCGACCGTACGGCAGCTGCAGCTTCAAGACCTGTGGCTGAAGCTATATCCCACCACCCCCGCAGCCACATACGTTACGCACAATGCATGTATGTAAGCTATGGGCTTTGTGCGAGCATCTGCGAAGTGCTGCCACACACGTATGTTCGTTCACAGACCACAAAGCTCTTACAGCGCGAATTTGCCTTCCGCACCTCGGTCGTGAACAAGGACGTGGATTCTGGTCCCTCCGTCCTCATCTCTTGACTGCCGAAAACATCGATGATTTCCATGTCCGGTGGCACCAACGGAGGAATTTCCCCAGCTGGATGGCATGGTGGATCTCATACGCGAAGCCAAAAATTAAATCGTTTTTCCGCTGGGAGTCAAGCGATGCATTCAGCATGATGGCTACTACCAAAATCCAGACATGTTGACGACTATCAACCTCGTAAAAGCGAAAATGCTCACGCTGCAGCGACGCTTCGCACAAAATTTCATTCGGATCAATGAAACATTCGTAGCTGGAGAGAGCATATCCACAGTTGGGTGATAGATTCCCTGGAGATCGAGCAGCACATGCTCCGATACTTCAAGGACTTGTATGCGGCGGGGGGGACCAGGCAAGTTGGGGAGGAGATGTTTGAAACCGAGAGAGCAGTACCCGAGAACGACGAAGCTAACGCTGCTCTTGTGGCAGAGATCAGTATCAACGAATTGAAAAATGCCATCCGAACGTCACAAAAACGAAAATCGCCGGGTATCGATGGTCTACCGGTAGAGTTTTACCAACCGGTGGAAACTAACGATTTAAAATTGGCTCACTACTTGACTAGCCTATTGGTCCCAAGCAAATCGATTAACGTACCCCATTCTAGTCAAAATTCTAGTACTACACTATGTTTGTTTTGATTCACTATGAAAGTTTGACAGATAAAATGAGGGGTTCGTGGATCTTCCTATGTTTCGAGGGGTGCATCGATTAGCTTGGGACCGAAGAGAGTACCAGAGCTGAGCCAAAAAGTAGAGCTCGTTTCTTCGGGACCTACTAGTCTTAGAGTTACCTCTATGGTTTTACCATCGAACTTTCGACATCATCTATCGAGAGCTCTACTTCGTCACCAATGAAGCTATGACGGATGAGCTTCCTTCGGAACTTGCCGATGGCACTATCGTACTGGTTAAAAAGAGAGGACTTCAAAATTCTCTCCCGCGTCCTGAAGACCCGCCTGGAACACATTCTCCGGACACATCGAGTCCTGAGGGACGCGCAAAAATGTGCCAACACCGATCGATCCATCTTCCAAGCCACGCTGTCGCTTAAGGATCGTGTAGCACAACTAACCGCGAGAATGCAAAAAGGGAAAATGATCTCTTTCGATCTAGACCACGCGTTCGATCGGGTCTCTCACGAGTTCCTGCATCGGACGTCTGCTGGTGAATGGGCGCCTTTCACAGCCGTTCCGTATAGAGCGATCCGTACGGCAGGGATACCCAATGTCGATGTTACTTTTCGTGCTTTATCTCCATCCTCTTCTCACACGGATAGAGCGAGTTTGTGGTGGTGACCTTTGCGTTGCATACGCCGACGACATCACGTTGATTGCAACCTCAACACAAACAATAGACCGTATTTACCAGCTGTTCGGCAGTTTTGAGATAGTTACTTACTTACTTAAGGGTCCTGTGCACCACCAGCGGTGAAAAGGGCCAACGTCAAAGACTTCCATCCTGGGCGGCTGCTCGCTTTTGCCTTGACCTGGGCCCAGGTCAGATTTCTATCGACTTGCTTAATTTCCTTATTGAGGCTCCGCCGCCATGAGCCCCTGGGTCTGCCTCTGCTGCGATGTCCTGCCGGATTCCAATCCAGCGCTTGCTTGCAGATTTCGTTTCCGCCCCGTCGAAGTGTGTGGCCGACCCACCTCCACTTTCGCTCTCGAATTTCTGTTGCTATCGGCTTCTGATGACATCGACGATGGAGCTCGGCATTCGAGATCCAGTTGTGAGGCCACCAGGCACGAATTATATACCGCAGGCAT